GTTATGAAACTCGAAAATAGTCTCTCTATTCTCTTCGTTTCATGCCTTGCCTGCTCAATTTTAACCTACAACGCAAACCATTTATGAAATGCCAACAAACCCCAACCTTGCGGAACCATGTTGCTGATCTTGAATAATTAAATCGAATATTTAGTCGTTTTGATCGGATAGAAAATGTTCGCTGTCACAAATATGTTTAAGTTTTCAACTGTTTCTATTGATTAAAAATGAGTTGGGTATTTTAAAGCAAGTCAGTTTTCTTAAATGAAAATTAAATCATGCTATTTAAGATTATCTAATTTTTAAATTAACTCAAAAATTAACCTTATACTAAAAAATGTCACAAAATTTAAATATTAAGTCATAACTGACAGAATTTTAAAATAAGATTTGCTCCAGTTTAGTGCAAAATTAGATAATAGGGATCTACGATCGACTTAATAATAAAACTTCATCATTATTTATCAGAAATATACCAAAATAATGCTGCTTTCTGTGCACAAATCAAACATTTTACCGTACAATTTAATAATCAGTTTTTCGATTAAAGATGCGATGGAACAAAAAAAGAGTGCTCAAAAACGCCAGCAGCTGCTCAATGCTGCACTTGACGTATTTTCTGTCTATGGTTTCAACGGCGCAAGTCTAGATGAAATCGCTCAATTAGCAGATATGCATAAATCCAATATTTTCTACTACTATGAAAATAAAGAAGCCTTATATGTTGAAGTGCTAACGACAGTTATGCAGAAATGGTTAGCACCGTTGCAGTCGCTTGAGTCAGAATTGGAACCGACAGAAGCTTTGTCACATTACATCATGACCAAAATTGAAATCTCTAGAACTCAGCCTAAAGCTTCAAAACTTTTCGCGTTAGAAGTGATTCAAGGCGCACCACATATTTTACCGATCCTCAAAGGCCCACTTAAAAAGCTCTTTAAACGCAAAGCTAAAGTGATTTTAAACTGGCAGGCGCAAGGTAAAATATCAGATCAAATCGATGCTGAATTGCTGATTATTAATATTTGGGCATTGACTCAAAATTATGCAGACTTTAGTACTCAAATTGAAATGGTGACTGGTAAAACTTTGCGTAATAAAAGTATGTGTCAACGCGCAATTGAACATACAATCCATATGACTTTATATGGTGTGTTACCGCGCAATTAATCATCCAATATACTTATTGGTTATTTTGGCAAACGGCCATAGAGTTCTATGGTCGCCAAGACTCAATTTTAAACTTTATATAATACTCAAACAAACTAAGTCTTTAATAAATAGACTGATATAGTTTTAACAACTTTTGTGCACCCAATAATAAATTATCTTCCCAATCTAAATGTGCGGTGTCATTTGCACCATCTGTAATGTATTTAATCGAAACTAAACGCACATCTAATTTTTTACAGACTTTAGCCAGTGCATAGCCTTCCATATCGACCAAGTTACAGCTCACTTTGGGTTGTCCTGTTTCAAAACTATCCCCTGTACCACAAACACCCTGCGCTAAATGTGGAAAATACGATTCTAAATGAATTTCGCCTGGAAAATGCTCATCCATTGGCGTAACGCCCACATCAAAACCGAGTGGGGAAACATCCATATCACGTTGCACAAAAGTTTTTACTTCAATCAACTCATGGGCATCGAAGAAAGAACTTCCTGCACTACCTAAATTCAGTATGGTTTTACAGCCGGTTTTTTGAATAACATCGAATGCCGTATAGGCTGCATTAATCTTGCCAATCCCGCTATAGTGGACAGTGATACCTGCTTGTTCAAATAACCCTTTAGATTCATTGGGTAAAGCCATAATCAGTGCAATGTCGTCTTTCATATCTATTCAAAATTAAAATTTTCCTTATTAGAATGGAAATTCAAATCCTGATCAATCTTATTGTTAACTCAAAATTTTAAAATCATATACAAATCACTACTGTACCTATGACCTTGATTGCGCATAATGTTTTAATAGAAAAATAGAGATGAAAATAAATGAATATCCAAATCATCGTGGGCAGTATTCGAGAAGGTCGTGTTGCGATTAAAGTCGCAGAATGGTTACTTAAAGAAATCCAAAAACTCGACTTCAGTACCCTCAATGTTGAAATTGTAGATTTAAAAGAATGGGATTTACCTTTCTTTGCCGGAAAAAACTCACCCGCCTCAGGAATCTATGATCAGCCTAAACAGCAAGAATGGGCGAAAAAAGTTGCTTCTGGAGATGCGTTTATTTTCATTACACCAGAATACAATCACGGCTATAGTCCTGTCCTGAAAAATGCCATCGACTTCGTTTATAAAGAATGGCAGAGCAAACCTTCGGCTTTTGTCAGTTATGGCGGTACCTACGGTTCACGTTCAATTGATCAAATCAAACAAGTCTGTGCTTTTATTGGCATGATTGACTCTAATGCTGTCATTGAACTGCGAGATATTGGACAACGTGGTAAGAGTGAAACCTTTGAGGGAAATGAGTTTGATAATAAAGCAGTCAAATCTGTGGTAAACAAACTCATCCAATATGCCAATGTCTAAAATCACATTGTACGCTTTAGCTTACATCACTTGCATGCATTGACGGCTAGGGAAGTTGAAGCAAATCCCCTATTCTATAGTCATAGGGAACAGGAAGTTTCCCAGACATAAAACAATAATAATCAGTCTGTACATCAGGAAGTGAGGTAGAACAGGAGTTTACCTAGCGAACCAATACGAAAAAGCCCCGTCAGGATGATGGGGCTTTTTTTATAACTTGGACTTTTTAATTTTGCCCAACTGTTAATGACTGATCACCAATACATTTACATCCGCAAGATAAAGGTGAATTATGCTGAGCAGCGGGCTTTCCCATCACCAACATATGATTATCACCTGCAACAATGCTGGCGACACATTTATGCTTGGGACAGGTCGCCTTATCCCCTACACACGCAATCGCTTTACCATCAATCAGAAAAGAAGACTGAGCAGAAATAATTTTTCCACCACCTGTCGTGGGTGACCCTAACGTGATATATGGAAGTGCCATAGTGCCTACCTTTTATTGTTTTGTTATTGAATAAAAATTTATAAAACATCGAACTCAATACGGCGGTTCTTTTTACGCCCATCTTCAGTTGCATTATCAGCAACAGGTTTGGTTGAACCCAGACCAGCTGTGCTTAAACGAGCCGGTGCAATGCCTTTCGTAGTTAAGTATTGCTTCACCGCTTCAGCACGTTGCAAACTCAAATCCTGATTCTTCTGTGGATTACCTTGGCTGTCAGTATGCCCCACAATTTTAACATTTTTACCTTGGACTTTATTTAATGCAACCACCATCTCGTCTAAGATTTGTGTACCTGTTGGGGTAAGTACGGCTTTGCCAGATTCAAACTCAATAATTCGATTTTTTAGGGCATTATCAATCACAGATTGCTCAGCAGCATTCACTGAAATTTGTGAATTAAATCGATAAGGTGGCTGAACTAAGGATTGGAATAAACTGGTGGTTGGCTGAATATCAGTTTGTACACCCATTTTCCCAACCAATTCAACTTGTGTGCCTCGTACAGAGAGCTTACCTTGGCTAATCTTCTTTAAATCTGGGGTAATCACACGAGTAACCGAATCACTCCAGCCATTCGGTGCGGATACGGCTCGAATTTGGATTTTATCAACAACTTGATCATCACCATAAACCGCTTTTAATTTCGCCAAGATTGCTTGTTTGGTCATGTCATTTGGCACAGCACCTTCAACTACAATCGGGGCAGCAAACACATTGAATGAACAAAATAAGCTAGAAATAAGCGCAAATTTTTTCAATATTTTGACTTGTTTATTTTTCATATCATTATTCATCTATAAATGTTTGTCTAAAAATTTTCATGCCTTGAACCAGACTCAATTGACGTTCACATAAAGACTGTTCTAGTGCTGCTAGACCTGCATTCTGTTCCAAATAGGCATCAATCCATAACGGTTTGACCAAAGACACCCAATGATCATTTTGCATATTTTGAGTGAAAATATTACTCAAAGCCGTGATATCTGCCCCTTGGAATCCAAATAATAAAATTGGAGACTCCTGGTGAAGAATACCAATCAAGATCTCTGTATTACTTTTTTCTAAAAAGCGTCCGATTAAGTTGACCCAAAAGGCAGCAATTTCATAGCAATAATTATGATTATTAATCGGTAAAATAAGCACCTTAGATAACTTACTGGTACCGTGTTTAAGCACCGGCTGTAGTAATAAGCCCAAACCCAACATACTTTGTGCCAATTCATAAGGCGTGATCTTCATCATTTGTGCAAATGAATGCATGGTATGATTTTCAAAAAAGTCCTGCGTTTTTAATTCAGGTAGAACCTGTATTTCACGATCAATTTCACCCAGCTTATTGATCAATACTTCAGGATCACGAATGGTTCGGATGCTTCGATTTTTTTGAAATAAATCAATCAATACCGGTTTATATTTAAACGGCGCATAGAGTAAGTTTTGAAAGGGGTGATCAACTTCTAATAACTGGCTTAAAACCATTGGAAATTGACGACCAGAACTGTCTTCACTGGTCACCATATTTGCCGCAAGAAACATTCTTTCCTTAGGGTTTGCGATAAAGAAGTCTAAAGGTGCTAATGATTCATAAGCTTGATTAAAATTTTCTTCTCGCATTGCAAGCTCTAAAGCTTCCGTAATCCATTGATCAATCACTTGAATCAATGAATATTGCCCTTTTGTTTTCAGAAAATCACCACGTGCGGGACATTTTCCATAATACAACGGTGTAGACTTTATCGTTTGCATACTTTAATCCCTCGCGTCAAATCGTTCCCTTTAATCATTGAGCCACTCCTTTTCCAGCAGCATTTGCCGCATTGCCAGCAGGCGCTACAGTTGAGCTTGCTGGTGCGGTTGTCTGAGGCTTAGGTGCACCTGCTGTCGGTGCAGTAGCACCGCCAAATGGTGAAGCCGCTGGTGAGTTTGCACTTACGGTAACAGGCGCTGCCTGTGCTGCAACAACCAATGGTGCTTTAGGACTTGTGACTCGATCAACCAGTTTTAATCCAACATAGCCACGATTAGAACCAATTGGATTTGAAGCATTACCACTAATTAAACGGAATTGAAGTTTCACAAACAAATCACTGTTTTGTTTGCTTGCCCATGTCATTTCAAAGCTTCCATTCAATGACTTACGTTGTGCGCTATCAATTAATTTATTGATCCCGTATTCACCCGGCTCATCAAATATGGTATGGGTTTGCCCATCTAAATCGATTGCAGTAATGCGTGCTCCCGGTATTGCACCAGGATTTGGCCACATGAAGTTAACCCATTGTTGGATACCATTTTCATAAACCAAGCGCTGCCCATCAATATCAATGGTATAGGACAATAATTTATTGTTAGGGATTGGATAGAATTGGAAATTTGACTGATTGGCTGCAACTGGAGCACCACCTGCTGCTCCCGCAGAAGCACCATTAATTGGTGTGGTATATTGCTCAAAATTCATGACGAATTCAGGATTTAAACCAATACCCATGTTTTTCCATGTCTTCGATGACAACGTATAACCACGACGAATAACGAATGGATCAAGGGTTTCTTTTACAAATTTAGAAATGCTGCCGTTATCACCAAAAATTTGGCTAATTTCACTACTGGTCGCTTGAATGGTTCCAGAAGAGTTAAATGGAACTTTTTGCGAAAGTGTTTGGCTAAATGGTTGGAAAGCCTGCAAGGTCCAAAGTTTATTAATTTCGTCCTGTGCTGGGGTCAACAAACTGTCAAAAGATTGAGTTAATGGACTCACCAACAATTTTTGAACCATTTGCTGATCCAACTCACCCAAACCAACCGTCAATTTTTCATCGACGACTTTTTGAGTGGTGTTGAAAACTGAACTTTGATCATTAATGGTCAGTTTCGCTAAGGCCAAAGCACTTGGACCAAAGTCACCTGCACTGCGTAGATCATTCAGCTTGCTTCTGACTTGCGCCATATTCTGTAAATAATCATCCAGCAGTGATTTGTTCTGTAAATCATCACGTTTACGGACCAATTGGTAGAATACT